CATGGTTTCTCCCTATTTTGGAATGACCAACCAACAAACAAACAAACAAACACACAAGTAAGAGGGTATATTTTTTTATTATCCTTCCACATGTACAGAAAACAGCTTTGACAGTTTTTGCCCAGACTTCAATATTTATATTGTATATTCAGGGTAAACTCCAGCAGGAGGCCTGAATGAAACCTTCAGCAGCTACATGAACAAGAACTACCCTGCAAACAACCAGCTGTTTTCTTTGAGAGCTGGGTTGAAGTCCAGATGTTGTGTACTGTGAAGTACAAATCAATAAATAAGGTTCACAGTGTGACCCCCCCCCCCCCCCCCCCCCCCCTCAGTCAGGTGTGTCCTCTGTGACCCTCCGTCCACAGTTGTCCTCAGAGGAGGTGAGAGATGTGGGACTGAGGATCTGTCCATTTTCCTGAAGGATGAAAAGATTTGAGTCAGTAACATAAGTCACGTGTTGTCTCACACAGGTGAACACTCACCTGCAGGTCTTCACTCGGGCTTTTCTCCTCCTGGGGGCTCGGAGGTGCCTCATCAGACCTCCTCATCACCAGCAGCCTCACACACATGCAGAGGGACAGCAGAGCAGTCAGAGACGAGCAGGGACACTTGGTCACCGCCAGAGACAACTGTCCTGTTCGATTCTCCAGAAAACACGGGGACGTTATGGAAACTTTCAAAAGTCCAGACGGGGACTCGCTGCTGTCCTTCCCGGGGAAAAAGTTACAGATGTGTGCAGCGTATGTTTCACATTCGATCATTCGGATCAACTTGGAACATGTATGTGTCGCAGGCAGGTTCGATTTCAGTTTGTGCGTCAGTGAACGCACCAGCGCGGTTTGGACTCCGGGCGTAAAGGAGCGCGCGCCCCCGGGGGACAGTTCTGGACAATATGATTTATTGATCTCGTTGAAATCTTTCCCTCTCGACACTTCGCCATCCTCCTGCGGGGACGCACACGTTACACTCAGCCTCCCTCCGACCGCCACCCGCTCCCACGCCTCCCGCGCTGAGGGCTGGTTGGCCCGGTGGCGCTCAGCCGGAGGGTCGCGCCGCGCGCCGGCGGCCAGTCCGAGGCTGTACCCGGCGGAGGCAGGCCGCTTGGTCGGCGGATTCCTGGCCCAGATATTCCCTCTGCACCGGAGGACCGCGGACAGGGCAGAGGCGGAGGGTGCGGAGGCCATGGTGGTCGATGAGATCCGCTGGGTTTGTGCACTTTCTCACTCAGCCTGTAACCGAGCGGCCACTTTACCTAAAGGTTAATTTGCGCAATGGGGGTTGGGGAGGGGGCTCCTCTCTGGGGGGGGGGGCAGACCGACCATATTTGCCTCGATGGATCCGAAGGAGCACAGGGGGTGTGTCTTTATGAGACGAGTAACAATAACATGTACATACATGTGTTTTATTAAAAGATAAAACTACAGTAATGCAGCTTTGAGTATCAGTGAATGTACACTTAACTTTCTCCTTCAGCTCAACCCACAGGACAGTTTTACTTCATTATATTTCCTTTCAGATTCAAACATTTGAAAAACGTTCAGTTCAATGCGGTCTTATTTGTAAAGTGCCAAATCACAGCATTCATTATCTGGAGACCTGATACCGTTACAGAGAAACCCATCAGTTAAACATTTACACATTTCCGACAAAGTTTTGAATCCTATCTCAACCATTTCCTTCGTGGGGTGCCCCAAGGCTTGATGCTGGGGCCCCTTCTCTTTGCAGTATATACAGTCCTAACTCTTGTCCAGGTTTCTGCTCTCATGGTTTCTCGTATCACGGAAACAACACCCATCTGTACCCATCATTTCCAGCAGACGACCCCATTGTCCGAACTCAAATTTCAGCTTGCCTTTCGGACATGGGTGAGGGAACACGACCGTCAACTAAAACTGAATGTTAAATCTGATCTGATCTTCCAAACCTTTTGTTATTGAACAGATGTCACGTTCTTAGTTCAAGGTCTTATACTGTACCCAGGCTTTAGTGTGGTTCCTCAGTTGTAAGTCACATCAGGTAAAAGCATCTGCCAAACGAGTCAATGTAAAAGAATATGCAATATGTTTTGTTAGTTATTCCTGTTTATAAGAATCTTACTTGCTCTGTATGCTGTTTGAAAGTGCCATTAAAAGTCCAGAAAACTTAAAGGCTAAAAGTTTTCTCTTCCTTGCTGTGCTTTTTCTCGACCTCCATGATTTTCCTCTCCCAGGTTTTGTCCTGCCGACATCAGAGAGTTGGTGATTACATATCTCACCTCACAGTAAAAACTCACAGCTGTATTTACAAAGAGAGAAAAACAGTGTCAGGGAAAGGAAGCTCATGTTGTCAAACAGGTTCACCAGCCTCTCAACAGCAGAAACACAAACAGGAGGAACGCAGTATTCACGCCTCGCTGTTTACTCGTCTGTTTGCACCACTAGAGGGTATCAGGTGTCCGAAGGAGCCATGCAGGCAGTCCCTCAGTAAAATGGACAGGATGTTCTCACTATAGGAAAATCAGGAAAACACAAAGAACTCAGAGCAGTTAGAAGCAAGCTGACCAACGTTTAATTTACAAATTACATTCTGAATAAACCCAGATTCTTTTAGAGATATAATCGTCATCTTGTGCTTTGGAAATACTGAGTTTTCAGTGTCTCAAGAGCAAACAGCTCTCTGCGACTGTCAGCATACGAGAAAATATATTAACTATACAAATCATCTATGTGCTTATGTACAACAAGAAAGAAACAACTGGTTACTGCGCTCAAACTGATCCAATAAAAAGATACTCAAAACTTCATGATAAGAGTTTAGTGCATTTCAACATTTACAGCTTATTCATCATTATGAGCAGTTTCCTTACACACGGGGTGCTTCGCAGTAAATCACCAACATGTTCACAAATGAACACAAAGGTACAAAAATATGTGAGTTTCCTTCATGTGCAACTTAAACGTGTTTAATAAAACATTGCCTCCCTTGTTTTCCTTCATTTCGTCTCCTCGTGTGCTTAGATTTCCCATCTCTTCTTCACCAAGCGTAAAAAAAGTGGAGGCAGAGGTATCTCAGAGAATCCAACGCGTTTGTGTGACATTCACTTCCTCCACTTGAGTCTTATCTCTGCAACACATTTGTCCCTGTCCCCTCAGGGTGAAGTGAATCGACTTCCCGGTGTAATGTTTGACGTCTGGTTGCTTGGAGGAAACCGGTGAATCATCATGTTCGGTACAATCACAAAGGCCAGGATCCCCACCAGCATGAGCGCCGCGGTGATGGTGATGATGGACACCACCACGGCGTAGTAGCACCGGTCCGAGCGGAACAACCTGCGCAGGCGACCTCTCACCCTGCTTGGAGGCCGGCCTACATCCACCACAGTGGCTTGCACCATTCTCTGCTCCATGGCATTGAGTGGGAGGTCACCGCCCGCTGTCGCCTGCTCCTCCTGCCTCTTCATCGGCAGCGTGAGGGCGTGAGCCGTGGTGGGGCTGGTGGGAGGAGGGTTCTTCAGGAGCAGTTTGCCCTTGCTGCGCTTGAAGCGGATGGACAGTGCCCTCTGCATGTCCGGTGGGAGTTTGCCGATGATGTCCTGGTTGTTGCCCAGGCGCGGCAGGTCCTGGCCATGTGGGATGTCGGTCAGCTCACGACACACGGGGCACGACAGAGTCTTGAGCTCAGGGGAGGTCACGTTGATGCGAGCGAGGCACTCCAGACAGAAGGTGTGCCCGCACACCAGCAGCTTTGGGGTCTTGAAGATGTTGTCGTAGGAGCAGAAGCAAATGGCGCACTCGGTCTCCTCCACGTCATCTTCGGGGGGCTTCACCTTCCTGCGGCCGCTCTCCCCTTCTTTTCTGTCTCGTCTCCGGGCCTCCTCACTCCTTCCACGCTGTCTCCCCTGTCCGTGGTGCCTGTCTCTTTCTCTCCTCCTTCCTCTTTCCCCTCTCTCTGAGTCGATACTCCTAGATCGACGGGCTTTTGGTGTCTTCTCCCTCTTCCACTGGTCCTCCTTGCTGTTCCTCTCCGTCTGGCCCATTTTGGGCTTGACGTTGGGGGCCTGTTGGGGGCCCTGGCTCTGGCTCCGGCTCCCCTCGCGCCGCTGTCTCTCTCTGTTATCGCTCATGTTGGAGGGATGAAGTTAGAGGTAGGGTGCCGGCTGGAATCGGATTCCCAGTTTCCCAACAGGAGCTGTGAAGAACAACACCTTGGATGAGTTTATTTCTTCCCACAAACTTGATGAGGAAGAACCAGGTTGTAGGAATTTACCTGCACGGTGGCAAGTGCTGTTTCATGACGATGAAGCAACAATGCCAAACCTCTTGCAATCTAAAATTACATCACTATTGTATCAAAACACTGTTTAATAGGCTCAAATGTTCAGAGACCTGCAGAACTGAAGGAGCTTCAGATTTTAAGATCCTGGTAATTGGGTCAAAACAAGTGAACAAAGGGTGACGGCTTCACGGCTTCACTGTTTTGAGACGCTACAGCAAACATTCCATCAAACCTGAGGAAGTTAGTCATTAACCTCGGGTGTAAAAACCCAGGGGAGACGTGCAGTTTACATTTCAGCAGCTGTTTCCTTTCAAATTGGTGAAAAATCTAGTTTGACATCTGTAAGAAGTTTAGTGACAAGTGTTAAAACTGTTTAAAACAAGTTCCATTCTAGGTTTTGAACAAACAATTGAGCAGGAAACTAGTTAGACACACACACACACACACACACACACACACAC